ATGAACAGGATTTTGTCTTTAGAGTTTCGAATGCCGTATGGCGTTTATCTGGCACTTTGAGGTATGCATCCACGCAAGAAGTACGCGTATCGCGAGGCAGTACAGCACCCCGAGTCAGATGGTTGTTAAATCATTTCAGTTCTTCCTTCATTTGCTAGGTCTTATTTTTTTGTCCTAAAGTGTTGCTAACCATGCTTCACGTAAGAGCAAGTGAACCGGTGAAGTCGATGACCAACCAACCAAGAAAACCAAATAAAAAAAATAATGATTTCATTGTAACATTTGAATTAGGTGTACTGCTCGGAAAGTTGATTCGCTGTGTCGGACCAGACACTAGGATTCAGCTTACTACCTGCTCGTCCCTACTACTGTAACAATGGACTGCTCCTACTTATAAATTGTTGTAGAGTAGTTTTCACAGTGGAGGCTTGTATTTCAATAAGTCGTCCTAAATTAGGTTCGACGTACAAAACGTTAGGAACTATAGAAATAAGAGTTAATGACGCAGCAATCTAGTGATGATTGGTACTTCAATGTCCGATATCGACCGACTCGCTCAACACCACTGAGCCGAACTGACGACCGCTACTACTACTACTACTTATTATCTGTGGGAGAGTCCATTACAATAGAATAGGTATTATGGCATAACATAAATATAGCAAGTAGCCACGTTAGATACTCACAGGACAGAGAGAGGGGCACCTCGGCGTGGTGTAAAGGTTAGCAAGCTTGTCGCGCTAGATCAGTTACAACTGAAAAGTGAGTTCGATCCTCACTGGGTGCCCCATACTTTCGGCCTTGTGCCACATCTAAGCTACGCTTAGAAAATTATTCAGGACACTTCAATGTGGTGTAATGGTTAGCAGGCCTGTCTCACTAGTTCATTTACCACTTACTAGTGAATTCGATCCATACTGGGTGCTTCTTACTTTCGGTCTTATAGCATGGCATTTTCTTTGCGTCAAAACTATGGTAACAGTAGATAAACTGGCCACGTGTTTTTCTACTGCTAAGAAGGTTGTTTCATTGTGTCGTGGCAGACAGTTTTTCTCTTCAGAATCCATCTTGGACAGTTATAAATTTACTATTCATCCGTGCATTGAATATTGTCGCCATATCTGATCGGGTGACCCGCTTATATATTGATTCTCGTCAAAATTCAACGAAAGGTGGTCTGTAATTTTATCGAGCCTGGCCTGGCATTACGTCTTCAGACAATTTTCCATACCCCGTGACGTAGCTTCCGTCTCTTTTCTAAAAAAAAAAAAATATTTTCATGGCGGTTGTTTTAATGATCTTTCCTCCTTGATAGCTCGACCGCGTGGATTTAGGCGTACTACTAGATTGGCAATTAGGTCTCATCGTTTCACCCTTTTTAAATAATACTTTAGCGGGCTATTATTTTTAGGGGTAAGTTTATCTCAGCTGCGACTTCCGGTGGTTGATCTTCGAGGTCATATATAAGATATAATAAGGAAGTCGATTTTGAGTGGCTGAGCTAGCATGGGAATGACAGATAAAAGTTTTTCAGCGAGTTGGTTCTTACCCGTCAAGAGATGTAGACGTTTTCCCTTTCGTGTCTGAAACGGCTCCCCAGTGAGGAGTGGGGGGCGACCCTCCACTGGGTAGTTAGTACATGTCGACATTAACAAAATAGATAAGTTAAAATTCTCCGTGTTGAGTTCTTTGATCTTTGGATCCAAAACATTTCGCTATCTTCGGCCGGGAGAAGACGAGAGAGAAAAGACAAGATATTTTCGAATTGGCGACATTTACAAGGATCTCCCGGCATGAGGGTGCTATGCAACAAATGTTGAACTAGCTAGATGTAACCGTAAGTTCTATTCTGATAGTTCCTTTTCTTACACTCTTCAACTATAGACCTCTATTCCGATTTCTTGCTTCGCTGCTGCATTCAATTTTCGAAGAGTGCAACGACAATCGCCATATTCTGTCATCCTGAACCATGTTCTTTTATTATCCTTCCTCCTCACTAATGTCGCCACATTCTCTTTCACTCCCAATAAGCCCTTATGTCTTAGTGGCTTTATTGCCTTACTGAAGTGATTAAAAAGATAAACAAAAATTATTCATTAATATTTGTTAACGTCTATAAAAAGGACACTTATACTTAACATTGGAAAGAGACGGTTGTAATTTTTATGTCGAGGATACCGTGGAACGAATATGTGAGCAACAACGAAGTTTTAGGGTTTGGTTTGGTTTGGTTTGGTTTGGTTTTACGGCATATCAACACCAATGGGTTATTTAATGCCGAAAAAATTTCATTGCTGGTAATATTTTGTTTTGTCAAAAATCTATTTCTGCTAATATTTTTTCCTCAAAAATGTATAGCTGGTAACAGTCTTTTTTCTTCAAAAATTTATTGCTGGAAATAATTTTTTACAAAGTATTTCTGGTATTAAAACCTGTTTTTACACTATCATAGTTTTTTTACCCCAGTTTCGGGGTTAGCTATTTGCCCATAGCTGGGACCCTAACAGGTGCTACCACCCCGGGTCAGGGCAGACCTGGGAACCGCAGCAATTAAGATGTGGTTCCACTCTCTTCAAAACCTTCTGATCAGAGGCCCTGATGTTGGACGTAGTTTATCGTCTTACCCAGGAGGCGGATGTAGTTTTAAGGAAAATGGAAACAAAAAGGACACATACTTAACATCAAGAAAGACAGTTGACATATCTAGACCACGTAATGAGGAAAAAAGGCTTGGGAAATTTAATACTCACAGGACAGACCGATGGCAAGAGGGACAAAGTAAAACCTACTTGGCGACGTTGAGTGAATAGATAGAGGAACTATGCCTAGAAGAGACAACAAAAAGACAAGATTTTGAGAAGAGCTACAAAGGACGGGTAATCGTGGAGAAACAGGGTATATAGAAGAAGAAGAAGAAGAAGAAGAAGAAGAAGAAGAAGAAGAAGAAGGATGAGGAGGGGGAGAAGGAGGAGAAGAAGAAGAAAGAGGAGGAGGAGGAGGAGGAGAAGAAGGAGAACGAGAAGAAGAAAAAGGAGAAGAAGATGGAGGGGAAAAAGAGGAGGAGGAGAAGACAAGAAGAAGAAGAAGAAGAAGAAGAAGAAGAAGAAGAAGAAGAAGAAGAAGATTATCATCCACACTAATGCTATTCTTTTTTACCATAATTGTTTCTCTTAATAAACAGTTCCAGTACCGTTCTGTGATTTCAAGCGTCGACGCTTTGTTGAGAATAAAGCCGATTTATCGCCGCCAGCATCACGTGAAACAATGTCCGCCATTTGATTTGATAACACATCGCACAATTCACCCACGCTAACCCAAGGCAAAATCTACAATGTAAATGCCGCATGTAAACAGGCAGATTTCTCCCCGTGTCCGTCTTCCCGTCTCTCCGACCGAAAATGTTCCGACTGAAGTTCATTTGTGTGATGCGGGGAAACGCTAATCATCCGTGATCCGAAGTTCCGGATTTTATTACATGGCTGGAATGGAAATGGACTTGATTACCTTTTGTCAACGTGACCTCCCCGATGGGTCGTTAGCAGAAAATTTGACCGAAGGCAACAGTTTCTTTGACGTTTGAAACGAAAGATTTGAGAATTGGACTAATGCAAAGACATTTTGTGCGGATTCGTGTCTCAGTTTATATTTCCAAATATTCTAAGCTGTCACGTGGCCTTACAAACAATTTTGTACGGGGATTCGTAGAATCAGATATGTACAGTGGCTTGCAAAAGTCTACACTCCCTTTGGAATGTCTTCAGCTAATACTTTGTGGATGATCCTGCTGTGTCAATTACAACCTGCAGGCGCCTTGGGTAGCCTTCCACAAGCTTACTGCAGAACTTGCTCATGGCAGAACTTCTCCAGCTGTGTCAGATTGGATGGGGAACATCGGTGCACAGCCAGCTTTAGATCTCGCCATAGATTTTCTATAGGACTGAGATCTGGAGACTGGCTGGGTCACTCCAAAATTGGGTCGTTATCTTGTTGAAACTCGAAATTGCGACGCAAGCGCAGCAGGTTTGCCTCCAATATTTCTCGGTACTTGATACTGTCCATGACACATTGGATGGTTACCATCTCTCCAGGCCCTGCAGCTGAAAAAACAGCCCCAAAGCATGACTGAGCCACCACCATGCTTTACAGCGGGGACGGTGTAATGAGGTTGGTGAGCAGATGCCTTTTTTTTTCTGCCAAACGTAGCGTTTCGTATTTTTTCCAAATAACTCGACTTTGGTCTCATCTAACCACAAAATCTTTCGTCACATGGTCATAGAATCATTGATGTGACTTTTGGCAAAGTTTAGCCTAGCTTGCTTGTACATAGGCTGCAGAAGGTTTTTTTTTTCTAGCTACCCTACCTTGCAGGCCAGACCGATACAATACTCTGCAAATTGTAGATGCATGGCCATCTGTCCCAGTACTGGAAACTGAAGCTTTCAACTCTTCCAGTGTTGCACTAGGGTAGGAAGTTGCCTCCCGGGCCAGTTTACTCGGTCTCCCAGATCTTGGTAAGGTAGCAGTGGTTTTGTGAACACATAAAATTAAGGATATTTATGTAGATGAGTTTAGTCTGGCACAAGGTCACAAATATATACCTAGTTATAATCTATTTTTTAAAATAAAATTTAACCAATATAAAGGCTCAAGAGCCATTCTTCATGTAGACATACCTCATCCAGCAACCCTTTGCGTTTACGGCTGTCAAATGAGGTGAACGTTAGAGAAATGATTGATTCGTTTTCTACGGTTTATCAACCCTTTGCAGGTTATTTAAAGCCAGAAAGTATTTTAGATTGTAACAGGCTTTTGGAAACAATAAAACTTTAATGATACATGTGACACTATTTAACCCATAGCTGGGAGAGAGTTGGATTCGTACCTTGTCCCAATGATATTTTGTACGTAAGTGAATATAACGAACCCGGCTGGAATTAGAACTCAGCTCTCATATTTTCAATTCCGAGCAGTTATCCATTACATCACTCGCATAGCCAAGTTTACAGCGCCTGATTATTCCCCAACGGTCACCCATTTAAGTACTGACTGGGATCGGCATTGCTTAACTTCGGTGATCGGCTGAGAACCGGTGTTGTGGCCGTAAGCCAACGTAAGAGGAGGAGGAGTGAAGACTACGAGGATATGGCGGATAGAAAATTACTGATCCTAGACTGGAAGAGGTTAAGATTGTAGTGTGCTGGGAAGCTTCTCTGTTGATAATATTCTCACATTGCCACAGGGTGGACCAAAAGTAGTCCTTTGTTGTTTCATCATTTGTCTCACAATTTAGATCTAACTTCGTCGAACAGTTCCTTCAGCAAGATGTAGCACCCCCCCCCATTATGCTTTGTCAGTAAGGGACTACCTTAACCGAATCTTTCCACGGCGTTGGTTCGGAAGAAGGGACAGCATTGAATGGCCGCCATGTTTACCTGACCTAAAACCAATGGATTTCTTTTTTAGGTGTGTAGTAAAGAACAAGGTTTACGAGAGAAATCCTTACACAACAGACGAATTAAAAGAGTACATCTGAAAAGTATTTATTGAAATTAGTTCAGATCAGGATTTGTGTCGTAGTGTGTGTCATAGTGTTCTGAAGAGGTTCGAGGAATGTTGTAATGTTGAAAGAGGCTATTTTGAGCACTTAAGAGATTAAACTGTACTAAAAATGTAAGTGTTAAACAAATGTACATAAACAATTTTGAACAAATATGATAGTTACAAATAAATAAGAATGTAAAATGAATGTTTTTAAAACAAAGTGCATACCTACAAAGTGTAAGCTTACATTTGGACCACTCTCTCTGTGTCTGTCTGTCTCTTTCTCTCTCTCTCTCTCTCTCTCTCTCTCTATATATATATATATATATATATATATATATATATATATATATATAGTGGGGGAAATAAATATTCGTACACATGAAAAATTGTATTGTTATAAATGTAAAAGCCTTAACTAAAACAAATTTTGATACATTTTATGTGTAAAGATACATTTTATTAAAAAATAGTAATAAACTTAATTAATTCTTATTCTAACAGAAATTAATGCATTTTTTCCATTTTAACTGATGAAAAATTATTCGTGCAAAATAAAAAAGCATATTAACTTAATTTAATACTTTGTGGAATATCCTTTATTGAATTCAACAGCTACCAGTCTATTCCTGTACGTCTCCACTAATGATTTGCACACATTGAGTGGTATTTTGTTCCATTCTTCTTGGTATATTGTCTTCAAATTCTTGATATTTGTTGGTGCTCTTTTCCCAATTTGAATTTTCAAATATCGCCATAAATTCTCGATTGGGTTCAAGTTTGGGGATTGACTTGGCTTCAAAGTTACTTTCAGCTAACCATTTCCTTGTAGATCTAGCGGTATGCTTAGGATCATTATCCAGTTGGAAAACCCAATCAGGAGGTAGCCGAAGTCTCTCAACAGAACGCATTAAATTGTCTTACAGGATTTTCTGGTATCTTTCGGCATTCATCTTGCCATCTATTATTGATATTCTGCCAACACCTTTTGCAGAAAAACAGCCTCAGATCATGATAATGCCACCACCAAACTTTAGAGTTGGCAACGTGTTCTTTGGTAAGTAGCCTTCACCGTCCTTCCTCCACACATGATTTCGATAATTATGACCAAACAACTCTATTTTAGTTTCATCTGTCCATAGTACTTTTTCCCAAGATGAATATTCTTTATCCTTATGCTCTTTAACGAATTTTAGCCTAGCATCTCTGTGTCGTTTCAAGAGGAGTGGAGTCTTCCTTGGGATGCGTGATTTCAGATTGTTTTTGTGTAGTTCATTACTTATTGTACACTTGGTTACTTTAATCCCTAATGCACGCAGATGTTCCTGCAGCTCTTCTCGGGTAACCTGTGGATTTTGTTGGATCTGGCGTCCTAATATCCTTGCTGATCTTAGCGAAATCTTCCTCGGAGCACCTGTTCGTCTTTGGTTTTCGACACTGTTACGAGTTTTAAACTTTGCAATGAACGAAGCAATTGTAGTAAAAGGAATATTCACGTTGTTAGAAATCGTTCTGTAACTGTTCCCATCTTTCCAAAGAGACAAAATGTGTTGTTTTTGTGAAATAGTCAATTCTTTACCTTTAGGCATTATTAGAACCTTCTCATTAGACTAGAAATTGCAGAATGCTCTGATAATGGCTAAAGTCGTTAATTATAATTACTGATAACATTACTGCAACATTTTAGAATATACTTTTTTCATAATTAATTGATAATTTTATTCTAATAATTAATTTGTACGAATACATTTTTTAACCAGATAGAATTAAAAAATGCATTAATTTCTGTTAGAATAAGAATTAATTAAGTTTATTATTATTTTCTAATAGTATGTGTCTTTAAACATAAAATGTGCTGAGATTTGTTTTATTTAAGGCTTTTTACATTTATAAAAAAAACAATTTATCAAGTCTACGAATATTTATTTCCACCCACTATATATATATATATATATATATATATATATATATATATATATATATAAATTGCTTTTGGTTAGTATAGTAAATTATTCTGAACTTCACCGTTCTGTAATAGCAAACTTGTCTCGCTAGATCAATGACGACTGAGTAGTGCTTAATACATTCGGCCTTGTGCCACATCTAAGTTACGCTTCCTAAATTATTGGGCACATCGGCGTGGTGTAAAGGTAAACAAGCGTCTCTCATTTGCTCAATTACGACTGAGTAGTGCACCATACATACGGCTTTGTGTCACATCTAATCTACGCTTCGTAAATTGATGGCGACATCGGCGTGGTGTAAAGATAAGCAAGCGTTTTCATTTGATCTGTTACGACTGAGTAGTGCTCTATATATTCGGCCTTTTGCCACATCTAACTTACGCTTCGTAAATTATTGGGCACATCGGCGTGATGTAAAATTAAACTAGCGTCTCTCATTTGATCAATTACTACAGAGTAGTGCTCCATATATTCGGCCTTGTGTCACATCTAAGCTACGCTTCCTAATTTATTGGGGACATCGGCGTGGTGTAAAGATATGCAGGCGTCTCTCATTTCATCAATTACGATTGAATAGTGCTCCATATATTCGGCCTTGTGCCACATCAAAGCTACACTTCGTAATTTATTGGGGACATCGGCGTTGTGTAAAGATATGCAGGCGTCTCTCATTTGATCAATGACGCCTGAGTAGTGCTCCATATATTCGGCCTTTTGCCACATTTCACTTACGGTTCGTAAATTATTCGGCACATCGGCGTGGTGTAAAGGTCAGGAAGTGTCTCTCATTTGATCAATTACTACAGAGTAGTGCTCCATACATTCGGCCTTGTGTCACACCTAAGCTACGCTTCGTAAATTAATGGGGACACCGGCGTGGTGTAAAAATATGCAGGCGTCTCTCATTTCATCAATGACGACTGAGTAGTGCTCCATACATTCGGCTTTGTGTCACATCTAATCTACGCTTCGTAAATTGATGGCGACATCGGCGTGGTGTAAAGGTAATCAAGCGTCTCTCATTTGATAAATTACGACTGAGTAGACTTCCATACATTCGGCCTTGTGTCACATCTAAGCTACGCCTCGTAAATTATTGGGGACATCGGCCTGGTGTAAAGACAAGCAAGCTTCTTTCATTGGATCTATTACGACTGAGTAGTGCTCCATACATTCGGCCTTGTGTCAAATCTAAGCTATAAGAAATGATTTTCAGATTGTCTATTATAGCGCTTGTAAACCATTTTTTCTATGTCTTCTTAAACGTTGAATTCCAAGAAAGAATCTTTAAGACTCCCTAAACCACAATGCATTTCATTTCTGTAGATTGATTTTCTAAAACGAAACAGAAGACAATACCATTTCTTTCTATCTGTATATCCGTCGTTGTAATCTATTGAAATTGTTATTCGGACCTCATAAATAACTTGCAAAGTATTTTTCTCTCGATAATGCATAATTAATCATAGAAAAATAAAGAAGGATAATATCCGATAAGACATTACTGGCAATATTAAATATCAAGTGAATCAATAAGTCTTTTTCTACAACGTATGCTTATCGCTTAAAAAAAGAAAGATCAAGGGATGAAGTTTCTATATAATAGAGGCAAACCGGAAGACTAATGATTATATATATATATTGATATGTAATGACGTAGATAAAGCATATTTAGAGAAAAGAACGGCGCTGAAAACTTAATCAACCGATAAGAAAGTGGAGATGCGTTGTACGAGAAGTGAATTGTTAATGAACGTGTAAAGGATAAAAATGGCGGTTAGAAACTAGTGAGTGTAAACCAGGGCTAACATTAAAACGGAATTATCACAAAGATCATAAAGACAGAACAATTGAAAGCTTTTATATTTACACTATTTAAATTGTTCGGATTAATGTCCTCGTCTTTACTGTCATATTGAAGACGTTTCGGTCGTTGTACACTCCTGCCTTCTTCAGTTCAAAAGTTTCAGACAGCCTCTGCTAATTTTTTAAATTGGTCCCCAAAAGTAGTTGTTTTGTACTTGAAATTGGAGAAAATTATTGTACACGGTTAAAAAAAAAGTGGGGAATAATTTTCTTTTATCAGTACTTTATTATGACAAAAAATAGAAGTAAACATTTTATGATTAAATTTTGCTCTTGTCAAAATATCCTCCTTTAACATTGATTACTGCGGCACAAATTTTTAGCATTCGTTACAGATGTTTCTCAAAGTATACGTTTGATAACTGATTCCATTCTAAGAGCTCTTTTCCATTCTTCTGTTAAGTTCATCCCATGCTAATTCTGGGGTGGGGTGGGGGGTTTGGCTTCAAATATTTTAACTCTTGTGTACGTTAGAAATTCGAACCGAACCCTTTATTTCGCCCACCGGGGTTGATTGATCTAGTTCCACGTGCCATGCCTTTTCTGGATTTCTCAGTTTCCGTTATATCCCTTTAATAACCCAACTCTATCCAAGTTGTTGTTCGCATCTGCTGTGGCAAGGTACTGAACTCACAACTCTTTGGGTGAAATCATTGGATTATAAAACTTACGGTTACATCTGTAAAATGATGAGACATTGTCGCCAATCTAGTGCTGCGCTTAAA